GTTAATACCGGAGAATCTAGACCAGTCCGCGATGCGATCTATCCAATCAGATTGCTCGATTTGCTAGTGTCCAGGCTCTAAGATTCACGGTCATATAATAAAATAATATAATAATAGATATACTTTGCATCTTGCACCTACACATGGGCTTCCTGTGTGTTTGTTGACGCTTTAGCCGACAGCCCATATTAGGGCATATACCTAGCCCTAGACATTCGACGGTTAAAGCAGCCATGTTTCGTTATTCAAGGATTTAATCGAAACAAGACATTACAGAACACCCGAGTTTCAAAACATTTAACAATTTCTCATGATTAATTTGACTTTGTTGGGATTGTCAMTAGATTCCAAATGAGGAGGAGAAAGCGAAAACGTTTGGAACATCGTWATGGCGTCGTCTTCGTTTGGAAAGGAACTTCACCGTAATATAATCGAGTTTTTTTGGTAATGGGGTGTGTTAAACAGAAGTGATTATCATGTCTCTGGTACACTGAGTTTGCTTAAATATGGAAGTTTTGATTAATGCTAAGGAAATGGAAGGAGACAGTAGTCTCTTACATACAAATAAGTCTTCAGATGAGTCGAAAACTCATGGTAACTTGACGAAGAGTTCGAGCAATTCAAAGCAATTTGAAGAAACCTTTTCTACACCTCTAATGAAGTCTGAAGACGTAAAAGAAACAAAAGCAGCTCATTTTCAAAATTCTTTGATTGACGCTATACTGTTTTGCGATGAAGATAGGGTTCGTGCATTGATTGATGCTGGTGCTGATGTCAACCTAACTGATAATGAGGGGAAGACTGCTTTGTTTTATGCTGTTCAACAAAGTAACAATGAAAGTGTGGTCCGTGCATTGATTGATGCTGGTGCTGATGTCAACCTAACTGATAATGAGGGAAAAACTGCTTTGTTTTATGCTGTCCAAAGTAACAATGAAAGTGTGGTTCGTGCATTGATAGAACAAGGGAATTCGCTTACTAGTCCAAGAGACATTTATGGCAGGACTCCACTCTTTTATGCCATGACCAAATCACAGTCAATAATTTGCTATCTTCTAGAAAAGAAAGTTAACATGCGCATTAAAGACAATTGTGGTATGAGTTTCTTATCATTTTTTGTTGACCATTGTCTCTCCAAACCTGCAAATTCTAACAATCAGTCTTGTATATCTGAAAGAATTGATTTAATAGTCCAAAAAGGAGTGAAAAGAAATACAGTTTATGTCGCAATTATGAACATCATCTTTTGCAAATGTCCTCTCCTCTTTCATTCAGGAATCAATGTACCAATCCTCATCTTTTTCTTGGAGTTAGCAAAGACATATAGTACTGAACATGAAAGTGATATTGATGATGTTTTGGAAATGGTAAGAAAAACTGTGAATGACAAAACACTGTTCAAAACCTTAATACCACAGATACTTGATTTGCTGTGTGAATTAGGGGCTGATCCCAACAGTGCTGACATGGAGGGAAACACTGCTCTTCACCATGCAGTTTGTTTGCCATTTTATGGAGTGTCAAAAGAGGAAGTAATGGACTTAGTAACGAAACTTGAAGAAGTTGGAATAACAGTTGATTCAAAAAACCACCACAGTGAAACACCGCTTCTGTTTTGTTTAACCTTGCACAGTAATGATCAACAAATATTAGATGAAAACAGCCAGTTGTCAGCCTTCAAAATACTTGTAGAAGTCTGTGAATTTTTGATATGCAATGGATCAAATGTTGAAGAGACGACGAAAAAAGGAGACTCTGTTTTGCATTTAATGATGAGGCTTTTGCAGAAAATTCTGGAATGGCATGGAAATGCAAGACTAAGTGATGCAATTCAAGTAGGAATTGTGTTATTTGAATTGAAATTATTTTCAACCTCCAGTGCAGCCAAAAGGGTCATCAACAAAAAAGATGAAAACCTCAACTCACCAATTCATCTTTGGGCATCATTGGAACCACCTCAACAATGCTTGAGAGATGTTGCTAATGAAGGAAGTGTGTTTTCAGATTTCATGAAAAAAGTTCTTAATAAACTTCTGGTCGACTGTGATACACAAATGAAGGAACGAAATAAACAAGGTCAGACTCCTCTACATCTCTGCAGAACCTGGGCTGCTGTTGAACTCTTGCTTGATTTTGGAGCAAACCCAAATGTTGTAGATGTATCAGGACGTTCACCCCTTATTGTTGCTGCACACAACAAAACACATACCTTTTTTTATCCAGATGTCGCGCTTGACGATCCAAAAGATTTTTGGAAACTAACTGCACTTGAGAAAGGTCTTGATCCTTGGGTAGTCGATAAAGATGGAAATTCTGTTTTGAGTTCTCTCATCGAATCAGAAGCTGTGGATCTAGCCAAAGCCATGATTGATGTTTTTTGTGCAAGCAGGAAAGACTTCCCTTCAGCAGAGGAAACCACAAATACATGTACAATCTTAAATATCTTATGTGAAGACAACAAAAATGCACAGTGGAAACTAGAATATGTTAATAAGATTGTGCTATTCTTGGGAAAACCTCTTATTGAAATAAAATGGTCTAAAACTTCTCCTCTTCATTCGTGCTGCAGGAATATTATTGAAGCATCAAAGGATGATGGTTCTTCTGTACAAACAACAGTACACTGGGCCATTGCGAAACTATTGCTGTCATATAAAGCTGATTGTGCAATCCCCGATGAAACAGGCCAGTCTTGTCTGGATATAGCAGAAGAGTGCTCAGAGCTGAAAGATCTCCTAAATAACCATGTAATTAATGATGACACTCATTGTCCTCATCCTTGGGTCAAAGTTTCTGAAAGATATAGGCCTATTTTGGAAAAAGTAGCAAGACATCAGGAAAGTACACATGCATATCCATTTTGGTACTATAAAGATCATTTAGGTGAAGGATCATTTGGCTTGATATTTGCAGGAATCAATGAGAACGATGGGCGAGAGGTAGCCATCAAACGTATTGAAAAATTGCGCATGAAGAGACCAGAAGACAAACGAGAAATAATGACACTTTCCMTCCTGGCACACTGTGACCAGGTTGTTCAATACCTGTCTTTYTTTGAAGATGAACATTTCTCTTACATTGTSTTGGAATTGATGGAGGGAAATCTTAATGACTATCTTGATGATTYTAATATTGYAAAGAATAACATTTCACTTTGCAARGATTTAGTMAAAGGACAAGAWTATCTGCATGGTCTKAAAATTCTTCATCGAGATCTCAAGCCATCAAATATCCTTTATAAAAAGTTTCCAAAACTGACTCTAAAAATTGCTGACTTTGGTTTAAGCCATCATGTTGTTGGKAGTACCTCTACTTCAGCATATGCTTCTTTTGCTGGAACAAGGTGTTGGATGGCTCCAGAGTTGCTGGGGTGCACAGATGCGAATTCAGGAGTTTATACCAAGGGGTCTGACATGTTTTCCTGTGGACTCATTCTTCACTATATTTTATCAGTTAAAAAACATCCATTTGCTCCAGCTGATAGTGATGAYAAAGGCACATTGCAAGTCAGCAATGAGACAGAAGCCAACATATTRAATGGCAGAATGGAAGGATGGGATGACTCTCTGTGSCCTGAAGCAGCTCATCTCATTAAAGCAATGCTTGATGGAGATGAAACTAAACGACCATCTGCAGATAAAGCATTGGATCATCCATATTTCTGGCCAGAGAAGAAAAAGCTGGATCTGCTCGTAGCTGTTGGCARTCAACCAGAATTTGAATATCCTCGTGCTGGGAGATCAKTTGTTTTGTCTGCTGTYGAGASTGAGTTAGAAGCATGGTTTGGTACCATAGTGAAGCATTCAGCCTGGARCAACCCAGGTTATGTACACATGGCTGATATTTTTAAGGAAATGAGAAGAAAAATAAGGTATGATCCTCACTCTGTGGTAGAATTGGTACGTTTCATACGAAATGCTTACGCGCACATCTCTGAAAGTACACGGCCAACACAAATCAAGAAACTATTGCTGGAAGACTTTGTGTTCTTCAAATATTTTCCAAATCTGTTGATGGAAGTCTACAAGGCTGTAACCACTCATGGATGGGATCAGACGAGAGCAGAGATCAAGAATGCAATGAAGAAGTGAGAGTTACGAACAAACAGGTAACATGCCATTTGAAAATAGCTAATTGACACATTTAATCATGTCCACAGGTGAATTTGTGCATTACAAAAAAAAATATTTATCATCATTGTTATTATAATTTTGAGGTTTCAAAATCATAAATCACAGAAGTTCAATCATGGAGTGCAAAAGTACATGTTTCTAAGAAACATAATTATATTTCATTGTTCAACAGAATTCAAAAGTACAAGAAAATTTAATTTGTGTACTGGTGGGATGTAGCTAACAATTTTTGCACATGGGAATTTTCACTTTATAGGAAGGTTATATTCGGAAATTTTGAAATCTAGCTTTTGGAAATGTTTGATCTTTTACCATCTTCAGCTTTATTCAGGGCATCTGAAAAAGTGGGAGGAYAGGATTTCGCACTATTTCCCAAAAATCACATTTGCTCAGGCTAAGCCTCAAATCAGTGTCTAATTACCCGCAAATACCAACGGTAAAGTAAAGAATGCACAAGTTCAACAATATGAACACTTAAAAACTTGACGGACCTTGACTGGATAAACATGAATATTCTTCACAAAATCAAGGCTTAGCCTGAGCAAAATGAGTCTGTAATCAAGAAACACAGCTGTAATTTGGAATTCGAAAAGGGTCTATTGCTCTATTTATCCTTTTCTGCACTTTTCCTGCACATTTTGCCAGAAAAATACAGAAAAACTTGCAAACCCTTTGACAATGTTCTTGAATACACAATAATTCTTCAAATAAGCAAGTTTTTCATCGAAATTCATTGCATTTTGGGATGGAAATCGACTGTAAGGCATTGTTTCCTTTCGCCGTTTAACAATAATCTACCAGGAGTTCCTTGCCCTAATTTCAGTGGCCTGGGAACTAGTTCTTCTATGAGTTTGATTGGTCTAAAAGGCATCCAATCACATGCCTTTATAAAAATATAGCAAATTTGGCTTGATTTTTGTGRAAAGTTTTTTTTCATTTTGCAGACTTTTTAGATACAGCTATTTCAAAAAAGGTTGAATACTGCATACTGTATACTGAATAGTGCATTCCAAGACCAAAGGGCATTGTGGGTCATAGTGACATTGGGAAAATATTTGGCTCTCTGTCATTTGTATGGACCTCGCTGCGCTCAGTCCGCACAACATGACCTCGAGCCAAATATTTTCCTGTACGBCCCTCCCACTCAGTCAATAAGTACATAATATTACCTAACTTATTAGTGAAGGATTATATATTTTAATAATAATATTGTGATGTGATCTTCTGCATAATCTGATTCTTCGGCATAATTCTGTGTGTGAGGATTCTTTATGGCTTTGCTGTAACAGTGACTTGAACCTGGTGCAGAGCTTATCATCTGTCTTATATATGGTGGTGCACCCATCTACAATAACTGGTGATCTTGTCTCCCCCTTCCCCCCAGGTTCGGCCCCCGCCCCTCTCCCCMAGGTACAGCACAAGATGCTGTCTGAATCAGGGTGTTGCTTCATATTTAAACTTTAAGTTAAATTATATTCACCACATAAGTTGAGCAGTATCTATCATTGAAGTGGCATCTGGAACAGGCCTAAAACAATGGAATTTCTAAAATATGGATTTTATATTTATTACAGAAACAATCAATTTATAAAAAATGATAATTTAGTCAGCTGTGTTTTTGGCAGTTRGCTTTTGGTTTCCCCCATGTTAGCCCCTGAAAGATTGACTACAAGGGTGCTTTATGGTTTGAAAGTTTTCTTKAACTAAGGATATCTTTTTACATGAATGACTCATCTAAAATCAATTCAAGTGCAAGAAATTATCATCAATAGGTGAATTTCATACAGTGTTGATACACATTTTAATCAATCAATCAAGCAATATATATAACATGTGCACATGTCTCTGTACTGTGATATTAACATGCTGGAAGCTGTAGAGCACAAGAGAACCAAGCTAAGGAACATGAGGCTTGGCCAAGCGTTTGGTGTGCTCTACAGCTCTAGGGCTGATTTATATTGCTTTTATGAAACATTTTTAATTGTGCTCTACAGCTTCCATGTCCTGATATAAACATGGTACATAGACAATCAGTTTACATATCATATTTCCAATATTTTATAATAGACAACAGAAGATAGACATGAATTGAGTTTAGAAATCGAAAATATCAATAGCATTATTACAAAAATATAATATGAATGACATTGATTGTTTACCTTTCAGGTACAAATATTTTATCATGGAACAGTATGAAGATCTTTAATACTAAATCAAGGTCAGCTGATACAAGAGACCAGCATACAGATAGAATAGTGTTAATAATGTTAAGACAAG